TACATCAGTAACACATACATAAAGAGCACCTTTAGATTTTCAAAAAGCTTTCGATAAGGTTTCTGATAAATTCTTATTAATATAATTCACAAATTTCTGGTTATTGGCATACAAAGTAATGCAGTTTTTGGGTCAAACATTAATTAATGGAAAACACAAAGTATAGGTAAGGGGTGAATGCTAAAAAATGCTTATATCACTGACTGATTCTGGGATAGGTTAGGATATCTCACTTCCTGAGCTTCCTTTTGCACATCTTTCTCACATCCCTCTTACCACCCATATGCAACCTTGCTGCAGCTCGCTGGCTCATTTCTCGTTAAAGAGAGCCTGCCTTTCCCTCAGCTAGGTGAATTATACCAAACAAAGCCCTAATACATTTAATCTCTATATCATACTTAATAAGATCTGACTGAACTAATAGAAACAATAGAAAGTTGATTGTATCTGCATTACTGGAGAAAACTTTTGGGTTCCTATGCTTATAGGAAGTAGGACTCTAAAACATACTTACTGTAAAAAAGCTGTCTTTAGTGTAACCTTTGTATAATCGTCGCAAAGAGTTCCAAGAAAAATCATTATAATGCATTTTTTACCTGTCTGTCATATGTGAGCTTGATTTATTACTCTGTTACCAGATCTGTGCCGGAAAATAAACTCACGTGCTTCTCATTTTGTTAACAGTTTATTATTTACCAATTAGTAATAATAACCCAAGTTATTTCCCACCTGCTATTTTGCTACAATATATTAATAAAGTATACTGAGGAAAGGTGCTTTAATTGCACATAAGTACTGGCATAAAGAATTTCATTTTCCTCCTTTTTCTTCCATACGTTGAAAAATATTAATTTGATTCAGTGATTAATAAAAATAATGGAATGACAATTGTGACCAATTCTCTGAAAAGGTAAATGAATGTAGTCTTTAAACATTGACATCCTAATACGTGTATTTTACCTTATGATATTAATTTCTGTATGTGTCTTAAATGGGTAATAAAGTACATTTTTTTCTCTAATTTACATAGATATTTGTCCTACAGTATGTATTAAAGCTGCACATGTAAATTCATGATTGAATAAGGCTAATTGTTTATCATGAAAAACACATCTGATTCTGAGCTACAGTATGTTACAAAAAACATACTTTTCTGCATTTACTGTTACAGTATATGAGGAAGATCATGCTGGGCTTAAACGTGTTGCCTATTTTCTGATGTGCACAATGTCCTATTTGTGAACGTTGTGAAATACACATAGAGTGGAACACATTGATTTTACACCTTTTATCCTGAATCGGAATATTTCCAATCAAGGTGTTTTGAACACTCAGCCACGAGAAAAAAAAAGAACGTTTTGTATTGTGAAGCATTGTGGGACTGGGTTCATCGTTTCTTGTTACTGTATTAACTGTCCGATGCAGTTGTGCAGTTGTGGAATTTTCCATTCCTGAAGTACATTTTGCAGTACTGTGAGACAAACAGATATTTTTTTTTAATCAAAACCAGCTCTTATAAGAACTGTATTACCAAACGTCACACAGTATAAAGGAAAGGAATGTTAATATTTATGCTACTGGTTGTTGTGGTATCCATGATTTTACTGGCAATCTAATTGGAGTTCTACAGTACACTGACCTTGTTAAAGTTGAAGTGCCACAGTGGCCTGTCCATCAGAGTCTTTTGAATAAGTTCATTCAGCATACAGTAAACAAACAGTTGGTGTAATCAGATTGGAATCCCTTCAGCACAAGCAAGGCCAGAAAGTATAAGGACTATTGTTGCACGTAACAAAAAATTCATAAACGATGACAACTTTTGCTTTTACTCCTAACAATTATGATTATAATGATAGCAAAGAAGACTAAAAAAAATACATTTTACTTGGCCTTATATAGCATTGACGGTAGATTCCGCACAAGACTTTAAATATTTCCAAGGAAGATATATCAGCAATAGTACTATAACAACTGAGTTTATGCCAGAATTACCTTAATGGTCTGGCAGTATAGACATTCCAGTTCTTTTTAATACACTATATTTGTTTTAGAAATTGGTCTTTTCAGACCAAGCTAAATGTACTGGTCCTCAGCCTGTGACTAACTTATATGAACTTTAATGTAACTATTTTTTGAATGTTTGCATTATTCGTATTTGTGTGATCTGATGGTGCAGTGGTTAGCATTGTAGCCCCTCAGCACTGGTACCCTGGGGTAAACTCCTAGGCTGCTATCTATGTGAGTTTGCATGTTCTGTCCATATTTATGTAGCTTTCCTCTGGGTGCCCTGGTTTCCTCCCACAGTCCAAAGACACACTGGTAGGTTAATTGGCTTCTGGGAAAAAACTGGCCCTTGTATGAGTGTGTTTGTCTGTGTGTCCTGCAATAGATTGGCATCCCACCCAGGGCATATCCTGCCTTGCACACTTTGCTTGCCATATTAAGCTCTGACTCCCCCGCCACCCTTTATTATTTAAAGCGGTTAGAAAATGCTGGATATTTGGGCATTCATCCTGCCTTTTAATGTGTCACTTTTTCATACTATTATTTGAACAAGTAATTCAAAGGAGAAAAAAAAGAATCTGTATTTATAAGGACAACACAGAGACCCATTTTTACTGCATGACTCTCCAGGCCACAGACCGCCTTTACACCTTATTGGGAATGTTCCCTCCCACATTATCAGGGAAGAGCAAAGTGAAAAAAACAATAAGATAATTAAACCAATTTAGGACATGTTTAATGCTGAAACAAAGAAGCTATGAAAGACTACTTCTCAAGCTCTTTATTTAAAGCTTATCTGAGTACAAAATGAGTGAAAAAGCTCAGTGGTGAGTCTTCCAGTGCCCATTCCTTTTTGCACTAGTCACTATTTAGGTCTTCTCTTTTTATGTTTTTATGCATTTTTAATAGCAATGTCAAACGTTTTAGATTTTGAGAACATTGCATAAGTAACTGCATATGCAAAATGTAATACCAAAATATTGTCAGTGTACTGTACTGTGCTCCATCCAAACCCCATGTCCCTGCTGCTTGCTAGAATTAAAACAACCTGAGTCTAAAATCTCTACTGCTGCAGATTGGTATGCCATCTGATGTGCCACAGTGGCCTGTCCATGAGAAACAAGGAGAATTTCCTTATGCAATGTTGCAGAACCACCAGGGTGCTCAGGATAACATACGGAACAGATAAATTTGATGCTGACTTCAAGCATTTTTTGAGAAAGCTATACTGCAGTATAATGTTGTACTGTTTCATCTACAGTATAATCTGTTGAAATGTTGATGATACCATGCTGTATATTAAATGTTTAAATGTGATTTCTACTGTCATAGAAACTAAAAGGCATCTTTTGCTCTATACAAAATTCTACAGAATAAGGGATAATGGAAGAGCTCTTAACAAAGACTACATATTTTTCCACGAATCCCAATTATACATTCTCAAAAACAACGCACCCAGATTTTTCCTATCCACAAACATCATCCTGTTTTCATTTCAGGAACGCAAAAACATTTTCTTGGAATGGTCTTCTCTAAAAGCATTTCTAATTTAAACGTGTGTTTAAATGCTGTTTTCCGTCACTGAGATGTTTTGACAGATTCAATTTACAGGCTTCATAAAGAGGTCTATTAAGAATATCCTTTTTCTCAAAATCCTGATTAGGAGGATGAGGATGCTCATACTCTGTGTTAGGTCATCTTGTTCTTTGTTGTGTTTGTACACCAGTCACGCATTTTCTGATTAAGCATACTGCATGTGCGCCGATAGCAATGTCAGTTTGGAAACATTTGTCATCACAGCTGCATCCTACATTTCTGTTGCATAACATAATAACATAATAAACAACATAATGAAATACAGTATGTACTGTATCTGACGTAAACTTGCTGATATGATCGCAACATACTGTACAGTATAGTACACAGCTAACAGTCTAGCTAATTAATTTCAGGTCAAAACGTTTATTTAGTTTTTTTCTCTTTAATGAGTTATTTTCTTAATGCAATTTATCTTTAACAAGAATATATACTGTTAACTATATATAAGTTAATTTGTAAAAAAAAAAGGCCAAACTAAGTTGTGTTATTTAAAAAAAACCTATTCAGCTAATTTCCAGTGTAGTCAGGGGTATTCAACAGTTATGTCTCTTCAAAAGTTCAAAAGTTACCTTGCCAAAGAACTAAATACCAAAGAAGTTGCTGTCGGCCTAATTTTATATTCTATTATATTTAATGAATCAGGCAATGAGTGAAGTATCGAAGAAGATCAATCCTACACCTTAATTATTAATACAATCAATGTGACCTATTCACAACAACAGGGAACGTGTAGCATTTGGTTTTGTAAAGCCATGAAGTGGACAACTGCAATATTGGTGACTATATCCTAACTGCCCTCGCTATAAAACAGAACACCAAGAACATTATTGACACAATCTTCTGCTGTGCTGTATGCTGTGTGTTAAGAGTTTGATTCAGCTGGCAACAAGCAGAGGCTATAGGCACGTAAGTCAACCTTGGTTACTTTTGGCTTTATAACATTTCTAAATTAGCTAAATAATATATACACTAAAACTTAAAAACGGTTCTACGTCTGCATTGTTGGTCTAGCCCAATACTTGCTAAATTAATACTCATCAATACCTAATACTTTGCCACGTCATTTGTTTCTATGATTTTATATGATGGATTTCCAGGGGATATTGAATTGGACACAACACCGGTGTCCACTGTATCTTGCGCTTTTGCCATTACATGCTTTTTTGTGAACAAACAAGACAAATAAAGACAATATCCTGGGATGTAGTTAGGAGAGCCCAAGTGCATGTGTCTTATGGTACTGAAATGCTTCAAATGATGACCTTACACTTTTCAAAATAACAGTATTAACGAGCTTTTCTGTAAAACGCAATTAACGCACTGCAATTTGCTTTATTTCTCCCTCCCCTACTCGATTGTCAATTTAGAGAATTAATTCACGGCAACAGAAGATGTACCTTCTCTGGGAGCTGCCGGGTCCCACGCCGACCACATCTGCACAAAGAAAAAAGGGGTCCAGCAAACGATGTAAGCCAAAACGATGACAAAAGTCATTTTCACCGTTCTGATTTTGGCTTTGGAGATCAGCTTTACGCTGCTCACTCGGGAGAGTGCAGACCCTTTGAAAGCTTTCGGCGTTAAAGGTATACTTTGGTCCTTCCGAGTTTTCAGTTTGAAGTTTTGCCATATTTTAAAACTGATCAGTCCGTAGCAGACACTTAGTATGGCCACTGGTATTATATAGATTGTGAGGCTGATCCATGTCACATAAGCTTTGGCGCCCCAAGGCTGAATAAAATCCCCCCAGCAGTCATAAACTCCAGAACCTGCCGGTATCTCCCTCAAAGAGAATATGTACACTTGTGGAATGCTAAACAAAAGACTGAGGACCCACGATGTAATGATGTAGAACCGATCGGCTCTTCTGTGTAAGGACCGCAGAGGCTGGCATATCGCCAAACATCTGTCTATGGACATCAGAACAAGCATATACGTTGAAGCGAACATTCCCACAACCTGCAGGTACTTTACTAATCTGCAGAGAAAATCGGGCCCATAAAAGCGAAAGGTGATGTCCCAGATGAGCTGCGGCAATACTTGAAAGATTGCCACGACCAGGTCTGCAATACTGAGGTGCTTCATGAAAAAGTACATCCGAGACTGGTTGTTTTTAGTCGTGTATATAGCCAGGAGGACACACAGGTTACCGGTCAATGCAAGTAGCAGGATGAGGGCTAGCACTGTTACTTCGACTTTGGCTACTTCTTCGTTCCGCAACACCGGGTTCACGGTGCCGTTTGCCTCTCTAGTGGCGTTAGCGAGGCTCGAGTTCTCCAAAGACGCATTCACGGACCACAAATCCTGATCCTTAAAGAGAATATCCTCCATCACGCTTAAAACTTTCCCCCCTTTTACCGTTTCGTTTTAAACGTCTGATGGGTCTACGTTTTTGCTTCAGTTGTATCACACGCAGGTGAGCATCTTTATGTTGTGGACTTATTGTCTTCGTTTAACTAAACAGATGCCACGTGAAATGATCACAATTCATTTAGCAGTTTCCATCATTTTGTTTTGCAAAGTCAGTTGTTTGTTTCTTGCGATTTTGCAGGAGAACGTAGCTTCTTTGACCAAGGCAAAAAACAGCTCAGTCACAAACTAGGAGAAACGAGAGTAAATAATTTGTTGATATGAAAGCAAAACATTCTGTTAACATGCATTATTTTTTAAAAAAATGCAATGGCTCAAAATATAAGCATTGTGAATAATGAATTGGAAATAACTGGCAACGAAAAACATATTGACAAAACATTAACATACATTTTTAATATGGTAAATTATTTATGCAAGTAAAATTACATACCTTTAATGTTTTTTTTAACAAAAATCCAATTCCACAATTTAAGGTCTAAATTGTTGCTTTATATCCTTTATTGTGAATGTATTTAGTTCTTATATCCTTTTATAGAGATTATATTTGGTTTTCTCACATAGTTCTTCGTAGGTTTAAATCCAGCAAGTGAAGCCTCACTCTGAGCGCCACGCAATATATGTCCCGGGTCTTGATATTTATACCTCCTGTGCATCTCAGCCTATTGAAGAGGTCTGGCCTGGTCTTTTACATTTCTACCAGTAGGTGGAGCTTCGTGCAGTAGTTTAGCTTGAGCTAAGTATGATTAAGATACAGTACGCTCCTCTGCAGTTGCTACATTTACCCACAGTTACCTTTTTCAATTGGATGATTGATTTCATTGGCATTCTACCTATAATTTAACATACTTTTTTAGCCTATGTTATTCTAGGAAGATCTGTACAATGCTATTTCTCTGAATTGCTATTTCAGAAAAGCAAGCAAACATAGTACTTTTTATTTCAACTTAATTTGAGAAAACATCGTAATGGTAAAATTAGATTATAGGATAGTACATTTAGACATGCATATTCAGTCAGAGTTGTCAAATCGATATCTGGCCAAAAAGCATTGCAACTAAACTGAAAAGACCAGCATTTGTAACAAACTGAAAAACTTTAGGATATTCTGATTGGGAACAATTAGAACAGTTTTTATTTTAATTCCCAGATAATTGGGGATTATATATAATTTGTGGGTTTAAGCTTTGGTTTCCATTGGCTCATAAATAATAATCATAATTCATATTTTTCTGCTAATAGACTGTACGTCTTAAGGTTCAGTACAAAACTACAAAGCGTCTTGAGTTACATTGAGCTACTTTGTCATTCTAAGCAAAATGCATGCAGATGGGAGGAAAATTGCATGTAACAGTTGGGAGGGAATATGTGCTACCTGTTGGCACAGCTGTCCAGAGGACACATTCTTCATGTTTACATTTTCAGTAGAGAATATTCTTTTTTGATGAAAATTAAAGTTTCTTTGAACTAGCTCCTTGAACCAGCTTCAAAGTGAACTAGCATTATGGAGAAACAAATTAATGTAATAAGTCATGGCTTTGTAATACAAGACAAGAAAAACAGCTGAAAATAGAGTCCATATTTTACTAAAAAAAATGCTTTGCTCATCAAAAAAATGTCCCTCTATGGAGATTTTAATATTCTGAAGGGAAATTTAGCTTCATATGAAGTGTTCTTCTTTATATATATATATTAAAGCAGAAAAAATTACTGATTTCCGACTCTATTGACAAATAATGTTCCACATACTGTACATGGATTTACTTTTGAAGGTCTAACAACATAGCACACATACTGTAGGAGATCGCCGTCTACATAAGTGCAAAAATAATATGGAGTGTAAACAGTTAAAGTAAGGAGTAAATTCATTTTATCCATATGTCTTTGCATCCCATTTTAACATATTAAGGTTGCGTGTCATTTCTGTCTATACAGTTAAAAGAAATGTGTACTACAGACTTAAGCAACAACATTCATCTTACTTTGCAAGCATGCCTTTCACGAATCTTACAGAAAGTTTTCATTAGAGTGTGCAGCTATCTCAAAAGTTGTTTTCAAATGTTTCCACATTAAAAGCAAAGTTTCTTACTTTTTTTCTTGTCCATATGCTTCTGTAGAATCACCTCCTGCCAGCAGGCAGAAACAACAGTTGAACAGTTGCATGCTTGTTTGAGTATATGATATTCAAATCTGGTTTACTGTTTGTCATCCTGTCTGAACTCTCTCTGAAAACGTGAAGGTTTTTATAACATAGGATTTTGGAAGTGAAGACTGGATGTTAAAACATTCAGAAGGCATCTGTCTGTCTTTCAAAGAGAATATGGAAGATTCTACAAAATGTACAATCACAGACTTACAGTACAGTATACTGTAAATGCTTCACATGCAATTCTTACAGAATTGTTTCTGATTAAGTATACATTATGTGCGCCTATAGTAAATATAGATAAAATATCAGAACGTTTTATGGAATGTTTCAGGGCCACCTTGCAATTAATACATTTAAACCTTTATTCATTTTATATATTTCTTTTGTTGAAGTGGCCATACCATTTCAAATAATAAATTAAACCAGGGATATTCCCCAAAAATTATTACAAAATATTTCAGATACAATATTTATACTGTTTGTTATTATTGTTATATATTATATAATGTTATTTATTTTTTTAATTAGCTTAGTTGTCAAGCCTGGCTCTTTATCATGCAAGGAGATGACAGAAATTCCCCATCATCATTTTCATAGCCCTGTATATATTTCTAAAAATGCTTAGTCTGGAGTAAATGTTGTTCTTGTCTCATAAGCTTACGAACTTTTATTCTAGGTTTACTTTTAGAGAGTTTCATCAACTGTGCTTCTGGATGTAATTATCAGAGAGAACATCTTACTATTTAAATTCATTGATAATTTTTCAAAGTTGTTGTAAATTATTGCAAAACAAATACTATTAAAACTTTGTTGTATCAAGGTCACTGATAATGCAGAGAGCAGGGAAAGCAAAAATGATGATAAATCTTTTTCCATTGCACTCTCAGCCTGTCTAAAACAATCTAGTAATTCATTACTATATCATCAGACATGTAATTGTTTAGATGTCTGTACCTGCAGAGATGTTGAAAATAGCAGGGACAATTTGTGATTGTATACCTTGATTCAGGTGGATAATGAAAGGATAATATTATGTGCTATTTGGCACATATTTGATGTCTCATTGTATATTATTCTACTAACGTCACTGTATTGTCTGTCACACACTTTTAACAATTAATTTTTATCTGCCTTCACCCATTGCATAACATTTTGAATTAAATGCTAATTAATGAATGTCTAGTATTCACACCAGTTTAATCTGTTAGTATGCATAAAAATGTTTAAGATCAAGTACAGTAAATAAGTCTCTCAATTGTCATAATTAGAGATAATTGTTTGTTGTTTTCAGAGGAAATAGTCTTTACTGTTCTTAAATACTGTTCTTAAGTACAGAATGAACAAAATGAATGCTAGTGTGATGCTAGCATTTGTTTTGAAAGACGATTTTGACAAAATATCTGTGCAACTCAAAACAATATGACAGAAAAAATTAGAGAAAGCCTCAGGAATGTGTATCACTACAAAATTGTGTTTACAGTTTAGATCCAGCTGGAAAATAATCTAATCTTAAATAAAAATACAGAAGTGTTTAGACTTGGAGCTCACACTAGTTTAAATCATTAAAAGAAACCTGAATTTAAAAATGGCAAACAAAGTACCACTGTTGTTTGTTGTTCTGTTTTAACATAATTATGTATGAAGGCCCTTTCCTCCGAAGCCCTAGCTTTTAGAAATACTGCCGTTTTCACTGCTGTGCCGTGGACACATACCGACAAACACTGAAAGACAAAATTGATATATTTAACAGGAGAGGAGGGGTCTGACACAGAACTCATAGCTTATCAATTCTTAGGATGTCTGAAGCAGTACTGTTCAGTATATGGTGGAATGGAAATGGTACAACACTAACACTGAGATCATAAGGGAAAGGCTTCTTTAGTTATACATGATTGATGTGTTCATTCTCTACCTCAGATTCAGTATGGTAAGCAACAGGAGCCCTTCCTATATTCCACATTAGACACCCTTGACTACAAATGCTAACATTTGTGATAAATGGTAGCAGGAGATAAGCAATGTATTCTCAATATACACAAACCGCTGTAAAACCACACTAAACTCCTTAATCCAGGTTGCCAGTTAGGTGTTTGCTCTTCTATCACAGCCTGATTAGGAATCTCAATTTGCTTTCCACAAGGTCAGTTAGCAGGCAAGACGTTTAGGTGAATCACTCTTAAAAGTTGGAAATATCTGGTCTTTTGAGGTCTGTATTTATTAAAACCAGCTTACCGTCTCATGAGATCACAACCTGCTTTGTTCTCTATTTTCTCAGAAAAAAAAAAACTGTGCTGTAGCGATATTTTCCATTTTTTCAGAAATGTGATTTTCTAGAGACGTTTGAATTGCCACTTTGATGCTACATTGAAAAGGTCTACATTTATTTTACGTACATT